TTTTCACTAATTTTAGTCAAAACTCACTATCACCATCAATGTCCATATATATGTGTATATATATCACCATTTCCAAATCATACATTCATACCATAAGATTAACACACATTTAAACTAAAATATAGATATACAAGGATAAAGATATTCTTACCTCAAAAGTTGTTAGAGGAGAGATGAAAACCAAAGGATGAACCTTCACGATAACAAGATTTAATCGGTCTAAAACGAAGCTTTTGATGAGATAAACAACTTTAATGACGGAGTAAGGATTGATTCTAGTTAAAAATAGATGAAATTTAGTGTTTAGGAGCTAGGGTTTTTTGAAAAGGGGTTTAGAGAGAGAAGAAGAGTGAAAAAGTGAATCCAAAAAGTGTTTAGATCGAAATTTAAAACTGTTGTCCCAAACAAACCGATCGAGCGAACTTTCCATCACTCGAGCAATGTAAACAAAACAAGCAGATCACTCGAGTGGTAAACGCAAGGTCTCAGGAGTTTTGTAGAGCTACAATGAAACTATTGGCAACTTGATAGCTTCGCTCGATTGATAGCTCTACCGCTCGAGCGGTCTCGCCTACAAACGAGTAAGATACTGGGAGCTCTATCTATCTACTTGAGTGGTCACTCAAAATAGGTTGTTACATTCTACCCCCCTTAAAGAATGTCGTCCTCAAAATTGCGTGATTCCTGCTAAAACAACCCCAACAATCCCCAAGAAGATTAATATCATACTAACAACCGTCGTAATATGTATAATATAATCAAGAGAGAATAAAACAAATCATAACTCGTATAATGAAATATAAGTTCAAGCTTTCATGAAAACAACACTTTTCTGTCTCATATTCTCACTACAACAAAAAAAATCTTTGGTGACAAACTCATTTTGTCTCCAAACATCAAAATTTTGTCACCAAAGTGATTTGCAATGAAATAATTTTGTCACCACGTTTGTCGTCTATACGTAGTCGTTGAAAGTAGCTGGTGATGAAAAATCATTTCATCGACATTTTTCATTTCTAAATGTTGCATTTTTCGTCCTATATAACATCAATTTCGTCACTAGAATTAGATAATGTTTTATTTTAATTGTTTTGGCCATGAAATAGTTCATCACCAAATATGAATATAGAGGTTTTAGTGATGAAATTTATCCTTACCAATGAATATAGAGGTTTTGGCCCTTGATGGCTTACTTTCAAGCCTAAGTGTTGGAAAAGTACATTTTTAGACTTAATTTTCAAACCGGGAGTCCTGTGCTAGTTCCATAAATTTTCAAAACTTACATTGGTCCCTCCCAAGGTGTTCGGGGTGTTCCCTGAGCCTTCTCATGGCTATTTCACAAATTTGGCCCCTAATGGCCTATTTTCAAGCCTAAGCGTTGGAAATGTGCATTTTCAAGCTAAAAGTTCTGTGCTACTTTCATAAGTTTCCACAACTTACATTGGTCCCTCTTGAGGTGGTGTAATAACCCTCACGCTATCCTAACCATACTTACATGCATTCATGTGATTCCATCTTGTGAACTTGCATTTCGAGTCTTGTCCCTATTCGTTTGAGCGTTACAACATGTTTTGTATCTTGTTGTGTGTGTTTGGCCGAGGTCATTTTCAGTTATCTTGGAACCACTTTGTTTGACCTTTACCTTCGCTTTGACATACTGGCCGAGATGTCATTATCTAGGCCGAGGTGTTCATCACCTAGACCGAGGTGTGAATCATCTAGGCCGAGATGTTACCTTTGCACCCAAGTGATCTTGTCCCGGAGTGGTATGACCTAGACCGAGGTGTGGCACATCTAGACCAAAGTGTGGCACAGTTTAGTCAAGTGTTGTCCTTCCTAGCCGAGGTCATTGCTCCCTACTTGCCGATGTCTTGCTCTTAGCCGAGATCAGTACTCGCCAGAGTGCCCATACCGTCTTGCTTGTTGAACACACTTTGTCATAGTTTTGTCTTGTCACTCAGCCACCTTTCTGTGTAGCACCAACCAGCCGCTGCCACGTGCCTCTGTAGAGGGTTAAGTCAGCCAGCAGGCTTAGAAATGTATCATTTGCTATATGTCTTTGTTTATGAGGAGAGAGAAGCTCTAGAAGAAGAAGAAGAAGTTTAGAGTGAGAGAGTGAGTTTCGAGCTTGATTCCTAGAGATCAAACCATTAGATTCGCGTATTGAGGTTAGATTCTTGATCTACTCTTGTCATTCTTGTTGATCATCTAGTTGCATTGCATGATCGAACCCGTTTTGCATGTCATGCATCGATTTAAAGTTGGTTTTAGAAAGGGAAAATGGTGTTCTTGTAGTCACGAAAGAAAAGTCTTGTTCGATCTGAAAGTTTGCATCAAGTTTCTTGTTTTTGTGTTCGTTCTCACTAGATTCTTGAATAAGGGTATTCAGGTCCATGTTTTTGAACTCATAGCATGAAATCTCAGATTTTGAAATAGCAAATCACGATCTTTGCATTCATTTTCCTCTTGTTCATGTTCATCTTATTCATCAAGGAAGGGAAAGCCAGATTTTCCCGACTTCATCCCTTTGAATGTGGCCATCGAGGCAACACCTCAGCAAGGAGGTGTGGGACCTCGGCCTAGACCTGGTAGTCGCCCGACATGTTTTTCGAGATGGAGAATTATGTTTGTTTTGATTTGACTTAGTCTTGGGGAATGCCGGGATCATCTGCATGCATGTGGAACTTGCTTGAAAGTGCATTCAATAGACTTTGCCATGTGTTTGTAGGGTTTGGACTTGCTTCGACCCCGGCGTTTGAAGAACTAAGTGAGTGATATCTTTAATAAAGCTATGTTTTAAATGCTTTGATAAAGTCTCGTTTTGCTTGTTTTGGAAAGTATTTGTAAGCATGAATGGTTATTCCTAATTGAAAATATATATATATATATATTGTTTTGATGACATTCTTGGAAGTCCGTACGTGCTAAGGGACCTATAAGCACTTGTAGCACAAAGTTTGGAAGTCCGTACGTGCTAAGGGACTATAAGCACTTGTAGCACAAAGTTTGGAAGTCCGTACGTGCTAAGGGACTATAAGCACTTGTAGCACAAAGTTTGGAAGTCCGTACGTGCTAAGGGACTATAAGCACTTGTAGCACAAAGTTTGGAAGTCCGTACGTGCTAAGGGACTATAAGCACTTGTAGCACAAAGTTTGGAAGTCCGTACGTGCTAAGGGACTATAAGCACTTGTAGCACAAAGTTTGGAAGTCCGTACGTGCTAAGGGACTATAAGCACTTGTAGCACAAAGTTTGGAAGTCCGTACGTGCTAAGGGACTATAAGCACTTGTAGCACAAAGTTTGGAAGTCCGTACGTGCTAAGGGACTATAAGCACTTGTAGCACAAAGTTTGGAAGTCCGTACGTGCTAAGGGACTATAAGCACTTGTAGCACAAAGTTTGGAAGTCCGTACGTGCTAAGGGACTATAAGCACTTGTAGCACAAGT